TCCGGTCTACGCCGAGTTGTTTGCTTGTCCGCCCTTCCTCTTGCTCTCCGTCGTTTTTCTTCCCTCCACCGCCCTCCGCCGTTTCCGCCGACGCCACCGTGAGTGCGGACCGTGCCCGCTTCCCCGCCACTATGTCCTGACGGGCTCCACCGCCATCGCCAGGGTCGCCGCAGCCGCCATGTTGGATCCCCCACATAAATAGAAGCAGGCCGCGAGCGGGCGCATGCGCAGTCGGGAGACGCTCCCGTCCACATTCGTGGCCGGGGCTCAGTTTTCCTCCCAACAGTCTGGGAGTCCAGACAGGTCAGCGGAAGTGACGTATGTCGAGGCCGGTTTCCTTGGAAACGGAGACGCTGTTTGCGCCCTTCCTAAAAGGGAGGGGTTGGGGGGGTGGGTTCCCGAGAAGCTTCCTATTAGCATTCGGAAACCCGAGGCGCTAGCCGAGGGCGAGCGTCTGGATGTGCTGGGGACCGACCTCGTCATGGCGCTGGGTCTCCTCAGGCACGTGCCACCCGCTCTCGGCTCTGGAGTTGGGTTGTCAGGTGGTTATTACAGGCGGATTCGGGGAAAGGGTAGAGGGACTCGAGGACCCGCCGAGGTACCTGCCCGCCCAGCGCTCCCGCAGCCCTAGGTTGTCGAGGGAAGAAAGGAAATGGCTAACTCCAGCCGGACTCGCCCGGCGGCTTCCCTCCGCTGAGCGCAACACTGACTCCCACAGGCCGCCCTTCCCGGGACCGACGGTTTCCTAGCTTGGCCGAGGGGGGAGGGGGGATTGTGTGTGGCAGGGTCGAAAAATGCTCAGAAACGTTGTGTAGTTGGGAAATGGAACAAGCAGCTCGGGGTCTCTCATAAGGACTAAAGTGTTTATTAATCGCAAAGTGCTTAAGAGGGCTTGGTGGTGTTTTACGGGGCATACTCCCGAAGTGGGTGCTGAAGGATCCACTTCAGGGTGGGGGAGAATCCTGGATTGGGCACGCCTTGCAGGCACTCCCAGATAAACTAATTAGATTACGCATTAAATGCGTGACGATTACTGTCAGTTTTCAGCCATGAAGTAGGAAGTAAATTTCAGGGCTTGCCCTCCACATCCTGAAGGAAATCCTGTTAATTCCATTAACCGGATAAGAACAGTGTCACCCATTGGCGATGTTCTGAGTCATGTGACGTCACAGACGAATTCCGAGTAGTTTCTTTTTTCCTCTCCTATTACGTTCCCTGAAGATAATGGAATATCAGTGATGGCGAACCTTTTGAGCTCGGCATGTCAGCATTTTGAAAAACTCTAACTTAACTCTGGTGCCGTGTCACATATAGAAATTTTTTGGTATTTGCAACCATAGAAAAACAAAGACATTTTTAATATTTATTTTATATATTTAAATGCCATTTAACAAAGAGAAATCAACCCAAAAAATGAGTTCGCGTGTCACCTCTGACACGCGTGTCATAGGTTCGCCATCACTGGGATAGATGGATCCAGAGGTCCCTCCCGGCTCTGAAATGCTGTCATTTTCCCTTGGCACTCTGTTTTACCTCCAGAATCCT